GGGGGGGTTGGGCAGCATGACGCTTGACCACGCAAAAAAATGGCCAACGAAATAGGTTCAAAACGATTTTCTAACAATAACTCCGTGCAAACCATCAGTTTTTGAAGCAGTTTTTTTTTACGAAAATATCGACGTTTAATATGTTTTTGTTTAAACGGTCGTCAAACGAGGAGAGCTTTCAGACAGTCTCATTAACTTGGCCCCATACATTGCACTCATACGGACATGATTAAGCCAGGATAGAAAAGCATTTAAAGGACATCTTCCCTTGATGATTCAACTGAAGGACATTATTATAATACGCATTATATGTTATCGAGTTTCAATGCCAACCAATTACATCCTGGAGAAACTTATTCGGTTCTGACAACCGTTGAGAACCTCATGATGAAGAAAGAAAGTAGCTTATTTGAGCAGGCATTAAACTTCAGCTGTCTCAATTTGTCTGATACACCCCTTTAAGTTGAAACACTCACTGTGTTTGATTGCTGGAATTATAACGCGCTTTTATCGAGCATGCCCTCCGTATTCTACTGCTTTTTTCTCGCCGTTTTGACCTCCTTAATACCAGAAGGACAAGGTGAAATTTTTCCTATAGTTTTGTCATATTTATAATCTGAGTACTCTAAAGTTTATCAAATCATGATATCACTGTTGTATCATCCTTTTTGAACTAACTATGCCTTGAAATGTTCGCTCAAACTTCTTCTAGTGGTTTTAGATATAACAAATTATTTCAATTAAGTAGTCTTCTCCCTCGAATGGCGTAAAATAACTTACTCACTTAGCATGAAGTTCAAGCATTTTTTTAAATCATTTTGTGATACGTACATTTTTTAAAAGTATCAAGATGGCGAAGGAATCAATTTTTTTTGAGACATGGTTCTTAGAGTAGCCAAAGGCGAAAGTGCACTTCAGAATAAATTATCACGTCTCTGAAACACTGTCCATGCACGTTTTCGACTTTTCAATGGATGATGATCACTGGAAGACTAAATTTATGTGTAAGTCTTATTGAACTTAACTGACCTTAAACGTGGCTATAAACGAAGCTGATCCTGAGCTTGATTCAAATTTCACAAAATGGAGGGCTGTGTATTGCGGGGAGCCTTTGCAGAAAAGAAGTTCTAACTTAGCTTGGGGCACAATCTCGCTTTACATGCATAAATACATACATTTATTGTTACTTCTTTAAAAAAGTTTCTCAACCTAAGCAGGTGTTTCAGTTCTACGGAAAAAAATGGGCATGAGTCTCAAAACGGACTGTTTAAAATTATCTGCTGTTAACGCAACTTTTGCTGTAGAGTCTGTTTTTGTCAATCAAGGTCTTGCTGTGAACTGCATAAGGACGGGGCATCAAAATCTAGCCAGGGTAAATTTACGAGATGTTTCGAAAATGATTGATCTCGACATTTTTAACGAACTTGATTTAAACAAAATAAACTATAACCGGCGTTATCATTAAGACGCGAATTCAGATGGAGAATTTCTATACACAAACAGTGACTTCAGTACATTTGACTAATCGAAAAATGTTTCAACGTTTTCCATTTAAAGGTAAATAAAGGTGTTTGATAGTAACTTTAGAATGAAACTAGATGAAAACAAACGCTCTTCATGACTAGATCAAACAAAAATATTCAGCGAAAACGTTTCGATGATAACCTTTTAAACGAATTCAACTTGCTCAGACGAGACGACGATTATTCTGTAAAATGCACGAATCACTCTAAATAACAATAAAGTTGATTAGGGATTTCTGACCACATCATTTAAAACGAAGATAAAGATTGCATACATCAGAGAAATTAAAATCACTCGGCTGGTTTTAATTAAACCAAAGGAATAATTCATAACAGTAATTTAACTGAGTGAAGTTCAATTTGTATATGCAATCACATGATTTCGAGTGCAGTTTGGGATAAATCAGCA